CCGACAACTACACAGGACATACTGGCTCTAAATGTAGGTCAAACAAAGCCATTGTATTCATTCTAAACTGTACGATACACAAAATTTTTAGTAGTGTGGACAACATTAGAAAGTACTATTTAATGCATAGTTAACTTTGGCTTCCAAATAAATCAAAGATTGTAAAGTAGATAATGAAATAGTAGCAGATGTGACAATTAAATGATACTTAATGATTTGTTCCTACAGATGCAATTATTCCTGAATAATTCAAATGCAGAAATGATGCTGAATCAATGACCAAATACAATATAATCAAAGACTAAAGAGATTATTTTTTAATATTTATTGCATTATATTGAGTTGTTACTTGGTACATGTCTACTACTTAAAGGTGCAGTGTGTAAGGCTTAGAGGGATCTATTAGCAGAAGTGGAAAACAGCATTCACAATTATGTTTTCATTCATTTGTAATCGCCTGAAAATAAGAATCACTGATTTTTTTTTTTTTTGCATAGAATGAGCCATTTAAATATACACACAGGGGGTGGGTCCCGTTTCACAGAGGCCACCGTGCTGTGTCGCCATGTTCTTACAGTAGCCCGAGAAAGAACAAACCGAACGCTGGAAGTAGCAGCTTGAGTCTGGTGACGCTACAGCACCGCTTGGAAGACAAAGAAAAAGAAAGAACACCCACCTCCCTTTAAACTCTGTAAGGTCACAGGTAAAGAATATCCAGAGGTCTTGTGCATGGGTCCTTGTGTTTCCCTGATGTGTTTTTAATCATTTTTGAACAACAATGGAGGTCTATGGCACAGACAAAAAAGATAATCCAGGACTGACAGACATTAGTGTTGAGTAGAGGCAAATCAGGGTTGATTTTAGTCTCTGTCTGGGGAGTGCTGACAATACTGTGAACATAGAAAATGACCGGCATTATCCTTTAAATTACTGACATGATATGAATGAAAGAAAAACTGGGAGAATGTGATTTCTGAACCCGACACAACGGGATCCTCAAGCCCAATAAACTCTCTCCCACTGACCGACTGGAGAGAAGCTGAGGGGGCGTTCCTATGTCTAGAAAGACACGCAGTCCTGGCCACTCTCCTAGTAGTTAAACTCTGTCCACAGAGTCACTAGGTTTGTCACTAGCTGCTTATTTGGAAAAAGTCACAAAATCTACTGAGAAAGATGCTAAGTTGGCAACACTGTTCATTTGGATGCAGTCGTGGACAACGACACAGCACCTTTCTGCCACTGTAGATTCTTTCACACTTAGAAAAGGAGGGGTCGGGGGTGGGGGTGTTCACATAGTTGCAACCTGCAACCTCACTGCCTGATGCCACTAAATCTTACACACTGCACCTTTAATAAAGCGGTGTATGGAATTCAGCATTGAAGTTCACCATCCACAGCTAAGCACAAACTCCTAACTTTCTAGTCTAATGCTTCAACTGGCAGCATTTATGCTACATTTTACTACAAAGACACTATGAATGTGCCTGGGGAATACAAGTAGAGTGACCCTATCCTGACTGTATGGACTGCTGCCATTCCATCTCCACATCCAAGTAACATTTCAGTGTGATGCAACAATTTATCACATTCCAATAACTAATAAGTTAGTTTTCAGTCATGTATTATGTCTCATTTAGCACCCGATTTAGAGCTCATCAGGAACAGGCCTTTTTCACAGTTCGAATTTTCAGTTTTCATGACGTGAAAACCACCTCTTCAGCCTGTGAAGTGTGTGTGCTGAATTAAAATAAAGAAAATGTTTTTATTAAGATCACTACTCATGATGTTTCAGTGCTTTACTTGTTAACTATTCCTCCATTAGCATTAGGCTGCTGATTTGCTCCCTATTCTGACTTTGGTAACTATTCACACACATTTGCACCTTTTGCTAGAGGGATACATTTTTCACATTTTTAGCTGCTTTTAGAACATGACTGCTGCCTTTTCCTAGAGTAACTGTGAAAGGAGTTGAAAATAGGACAGCTTTAGTCTCTGAACATAGTCCATCCTATAATAAAGAGCCATGCAAGGTGAAATTAAACCCCCTGAACTTCAATTTGCTTCAAAACATAGATGGTCTGTCAGTGTTTCCCCCCGTTTTTCTTCAGCTGTCTGGGCTGTTTTATGGCTTGTAACTTTAAGACCTGCACAGCCGGCCTACGCTGGGCAGGACTGCTGATGTTCTCTATACTGAGCAACAGCCTCTGGGCTGATTTGTGTCACATGACCATGTAATGTTTGTACAAAATAACTAAAACTTGCAGTAAAATTATAGGCACTGCTTGTTGAAATCATTTTTGGTTGTGTTCCCCCCGTGCTGTTGACCTGCTGGTTTATTTGAATAGAGAAGAGTTTGCATGGCAATGTTCATTGACCCAAGTGGAGGAGAGTTTGTATGAAAGGCTCAATTCATCTATTTACTGTCCAAGTTCAATTTAGTGACAAACACATAATTCTCAGAGGTAGGGAATGAGTTTTAATTGAACCTGACAGGTGCATGTATTTGACCTCAAGTTATTTTGCTATAAAGACCTGGTATTCCGTACGTCTTGTTGTATGCTGTCATGATAGTGGTATTTTATTTATAATTATTAAACATCTATTTAATACACTTTGCAGATTAATATAAAGAGACATCACATGCATGAGCTTAGAACAGATAAGCCAGGACAGCTGACGTAACCGCAGCGGATTAGTTTTCCATTCAGATGGTTGATGTTATGTAGGAAAGCTATTTAACTTTCTTTGTACATTCAGGTTGCTAGTCAGGGGCAGGGAAGAAGCAGGGAGAAGTAGGACTGAAGACAATTCATACTTCATAACCTGCTTCAACACAGAATCAAGCCTGACAGCCAGGAGCCGCACATCCAAAATATGACTGAACTCTAAAAGCCACCTGACTTCGAATAGTGCACACATCTTCTCTACAGGTGAAGGTTTAGTATTTACATTTTTTATCTTGGTCACACTATGAACCTCTGCCAGACAATATGGTGCAGTAATAAGACTCCCCAAGTACAATATGCACAGTAATCTTGGTCATCAGCTGTAATCCACGTCAGCTCTACAATAAATATACCCTTTGCATGTACTGCAGTGTTATTGTTAATTGAGCTTTTGAAAGGAGGTTATTTACTATAAATATATGGCCGCATGTTTTGTTGTTGTTGTATTTGGTTGTGCAGTATTATATTAAATCAGTTTTGGTATTATTGACTCTACCCAGAGGGATTAAACTTGTTTTCAGTTGTTCTCTGTTTTGTCCTGCCTTCATTTTAATGTAAAAGTGACATTTTTCTGTGTGTGGACCCATAAGTTCTCCCTTTCATCCCTGTAGTGCATTTGCTAAGGGGAAAATAGCGCCTAATCACAGACACACAACTGGGTCGGTCCCACCGTGGGTTAATACTCTGCTTCATCTGTTTAACACATCTCAGAGAAACAACATTATTCTTCAAGGTTAACAATCACAGTCAGTATTAAGGTAAACTTCATCCTAAGCTGCTGTTGTTATTCAGTACACATCAAGATGTGAACTATTACCTTAGCCAAGCAACTTCTGTTCCTGATCCTACTCTACTGAACAGATTCCATTACGATTTTGTTGGGGGAAAGTTAGTATGTATCTGGAGCAATACTGTCATCATGTGGACTTTAATAAAACGCTTTTCAGTTCAGCACAGAATTTCTGATAGAACTGACGAGATTCATGGGTCCAGGTGTCAAAATGTCTTATACATCTACAACCTTACATGTGCTGTTTCCACTGCACTTAGAAGAATTGGTGGGTTAGCTAACATATTACATTATTTTGACAATGATTACAGAAAAAGGATCGTACTCAATGACATAGAAAGCACTACTGCTACTACTAACTACTATTTAACTAGTCAGTGCTACCGGTGAAGGCCAGACTAAAGAAAACATTTTGTCTGTTGCTGTTAAAAGTGATTTCTTGTCAGTGATTGCAACCCTAATACCTGTCGGATCAAAGCGGATTCTCCATCAGCTCTGATCACATGGTTTGTCATCATCATTACAGACAGAGCGTGATCTGTGAAGTGCTGGAAAACCGTAAACCTGTATCATGCTATTGTCAGTGATGATGAGATTCTCTTTCTGGTTGGGTCTGCTCAGGTACAAGGCACTTTGGATTTACAATTCCTGTCGGAGGTGAAAGTGTGTCCCGCTTGTGACCGGTAGCGTATTCATTTTTGGGTCGATTCAGACTGGGTCTAGCTGTTACTGGTTCCATTTTAGATTGTGTCTAAAGTTTTGGAAGCTTCTTGAACTGTGAACGTTAATATGGTTTTTTGTTTGAGTTCCATCAAATTTGCCACAAGATATTTAGATGGTTTCATCATTTGCTTTTAATATGCCATGTCATTTCCTACACACAAATTCTTTTAGGTATGGCTTATGTGACATAAACTTAAATAACCAAACGAATCGCAGTTGCAGCTAAACTTAATGTATCCACACAAACTGCAGTGATTCTGCAAGATTTAAGGGCATTTTCCGAATGGGTGAAGCCACAGCAAACCAACATTTAACTGGTGATATCTCAGTGTGTAACTTTACTCAAATCATCCCATACAAAGCTCCAACAATTCAGAACAGGAGATAGGTATTGGAAAAACACTGCTGCAGCTAATCAGTGTGACATCAGCAATGATTGTGTCCAAATCTGTTATTAAAATAACACATGTAGAGTCTGCACAGTCATCTAACCACCCCAACTTAACCCTTTCATGCATGAATTATGAAAGCCTAACTCTTTCCAAATTGTTACTATGTGATTTAATTCTTTATTAAATATGAAAAAAAGTAAAACTTGTTTTTATTTTCCATACAGCTTTGACATGTCTACTCTGGCTGACAAGTACTTAATTTGTTCAATGTAAAGTAACATTTACAGTATTAATAGTGTAATAAAAAGAACAATGTATTTAAAAAAAACTAATATATATACTAAATATGTTTTAACATACATGTTGAATTTAATATACTGTATGCTGTTGGATATGAAAAACGACTCAAACATTGTGAAGATTTTTTTTAAATGTGTGAAGTGTTTAGCTCTGATATTATCCAAATTAATTTCCCTGAAACATGTTGCCAAAAATTATCAACAGCTATTTGATAACAGAATGATAATTTCAAACAAAACATACCTACATTTTGCAGATTGCAGCTCCCCAGATGTGAGCATTTGATGCTTTTCTCTCTCACACCTGACAGTAAAGTGAATGTCTGTGGCTTCTGGATTGCTTGTTGAATAAAAAAGGCAACTTAAGCATGTTGCCTTTGGCTGGCAAGGAGTCTGCATTCTTTTCTATTTTTGATTGAAGATTAATCAATTAATGATCAAAATGATCAGCAGCATTGACAATGAAAATAATTATTTGCTGCATCCCTACAGTAGTTATCCAAAACTGTCCTCAAATAAAAATTAGCAATCTACTTCTTTAGCATTCTCGTACATCAGGTCCTCAGTTCTGTCTACAATAAAAACTGGTAAAGTACCCAGGACACAAAGCCACAAAGCAAATATGCAGATGTACTGTAGATCATTTGTTTGCAGTATCTGTTTTCACTGAGCTGGCATCTGTGTTTTTCAAAGCCAAATCTTATATCATTATCTAATGACTACATACAAGTCACACAACAGACTTAAGTAACACAAAATATTGATTGAAGGACCAATAATCTTGTTTCTTGGATGTTAATTGATACCCCTGGTGTTTTCAAGAAGTGCCCAGTGCAGTGGCTGAAGCTGGGTTAGTGGACCTGCAGACACACTAACCAAACCATGCATATACAAGAAACTGGATCTTAAATAGTGTTCTTTAATGACCACTAGGCATGAAAGGGTTAACCTGACTTCCAAGATACCGTCTCTCTCCAACTACGATTTTCACCCATCATCATTCATCTTCCCTCACACTGCTAAACTTCAATACCAGCCCATTTACAATCTTCCCATTTCATGGGTGCCTTACATTGTGGCTTGACAACTGCTCTTAGGAGATCCAAACTAAAACGTGCAAATACGAAAAATTTAAACATTCTACACACCTCCCATCGGTCCATCAGACATTTCTATACACACTGCTGTGATTAAAACTATAATCCTACAAGTAACATAATAATTATAATAACAACAACAACAACAACTCAATAACTCAAGATATAACTAAAAACAAAAGAGTAAGAATAGTGTTAAGTGCATGCAACCGTATAAAACTCAAACTCATCTCTGGTCATTTGTAGTATTTTGTCACATGGTCAAAGTATTCATACAGGCAAATGAACAGAGTTCTAGTTCTTTGAAGCCCAAACCTGAACATGTTTATCATGATTCCATTAGACTGGATTGAGTGGCTTGGCCACACTGGCAGAATATTCACAATATATCATAAGACTTTCCCCTGCAATAAATGTGTTTTCATGTATTTAATACTCAGGGCTGAGTATTAGAAAATGGCTTTTGTTTGTACTGTGAACATTTAGGCAGGACATACTACCAATGTACTGAATCTGCTTTTGCAAAGTGCAGTTTTCAGGTGCAAGGTAGCCATAGTGTAACCATAACCTAAAAACACCATTTCATTTGCAACACACTGGCTTGTCCACATTTTGGGACAACATACATCTACACTGTAGTTAATTGTCAACACTCTGCAGGCCTAAGTGATGCTTCACACACAGCAACACTGTCTGGGTACATTCACCTCAGTCCACTCACACCGATCAGACAGCAGAGCCACTGAACCAGATCGGCTCTACAAATGGAATCAACATGGCAAAGACCAGACCATGACGCTTTCTGCCACCCCTGAATGAGGAAAGGGGTTTAGCTCTTGCCTCACATACGACGGGCTTGTCATGTGACCACTGTTATGCAACCACAGCTCCATAATTAGGTAAGGGGTTAACAATTCGGCCAATTCAAACAGCTGAGATGTGGTTAAAACAACAGAAAAGTAGTAAACTGACCTTGAGATAAGATAAATGGGTTGAGTATTGGGATTGTGTTTTGTAATTGCCTAGCGTGACCAAGAACAAATATGTGTATTTCTGAAATGTTACACACTAGAAATCAACTGTCCTTAGCTGAATGACAGTAGAGGGTAAGTCCCATCTCAGCCTCTGCTGAAGCTAATGAAAGGTTTTATTGATCCTACACTCAAGCTAGAATCTTAGCATCTCACAGCCACTGTTTAACCTAAACTATGTACCTGCTACACTGGTTAATGTCAAGCAATCACACATGCAGCTTTTTTTTTTCTTTTTCTTTAAGTGCTACCAGCTGTACCATAAAAAGTATGATCATTTTCTATAATGTATAATTGTTCTTTAACTAAAGGCAAGGCACATAATGTGTTTCATGAAATATCGTGCAAAATAGAAGTTCAACAACAAGGCTATTATTAAAATTCAAAGAAATGGATAACCCCTCCATCTAATGTTCTCTGATGTAGTACAGAGTCCAGAAGCAAGAAAGGAGTATTAGGAGGAAGATCGGGATAGAGAGGGAGAGGTATCATCAGTTTCAGCCATGCATTCTTTAGGTCAGTACAGTGACCAGGGCAGCACCATGCAGTATACAGTAGCTTTAAGCCAGCTTTAACCAAACCTTAAATCTGGTCCTACCAAAACCCAGGTAAAATCAGCACCTTCGGTACAAAGTCTGAACCTCTAGCAGGTACTGACTACTGCCAACCTTAACCCCAAAACCTAGGAAAGGAAAAAGACACAGATACCTTTGTTCAGACTGAACGCAGAGCAAATTTTAGAAGTGGTCTGGCTGAATACAGTCAGCAGACGGACACAAGTCGGCTGAAAAGTAAAATCTGTAAGCAGTGCAACATGGAGACACTTCTGTGGGAGTTAAAGCTGTGTCCCTTTTGGCAAAAAACGGTTTGACACAAAGTTAAAAGCTAGAGGGAAGTAACAGACTGGATGTCCTGGTGAGTTCTGAGTCGGAGCTGTCACAAAGGCACTCTCAACACTCTCAACACATCGATACTCAGTTGAGTATCGATGTTTGCACCACACACTGAGTTACTCTGTGAAGGGAAGAAGTCAAAGAATTATCTTCTACTGCTGTGGGCTGTATCTTGAAAGGTATCTTTGTGATCCACAGATGTTTATTTTCTGATTAAATATTTTCCCAGAAAAAAAAACAATGCATGAGTTCAATGATTCCACTGACTGTGCCTCTCTGCAGCGGCTCATAATATTGTGTTTAAATTTGGGTTTCAGTTTTGGAAGATTCTACTGCATCTTTCCAAGATGATGGAATTTCACGATGTAAACCCCAGCTTCATAACAAGCAAATGAATAATGCTTTGACTTGTTCTTTTCTCCTCCTGTTTCCACCAGGGATGCACGTGACCAAACCATGTACTGTAGTAATGTCTGCAGATTGCGGAAACATTCAATTAACCAGATTCATGTTATTATCAAAATCTGCTTGGCCTTCAGTCTGAGTGCACCTCAACACAAAAGCAGCAACCCTTTAACTCAATACATCCCCGGGTACCAAAGATGTACAGACTGCTTTATAGTTGCAAAGCCTTAACAATTATAATATGGCACCAATTTAAAAAGTAGTAGTCCCTAAATATTTCATTTATATTTAAACTTTTCATCTAAAAAAAAATAGTGTACAAAATTTTAAATTATCTGGGTGTGCATGTTTTACTACTGTTGCATTTGGAGTTTGCATTTAATTGTATATATAAATATCAGCAGTGATATGTTTTAAAATCTGATTCTGAATTTCTGCATTTATATGTTAGACAGCTACAGGAAAAACATGAATGAGTTGTTCTATCCCTTGAACTGACATCTTGCTCACTGGTGAGCCACCATTAACGCAAATAGAGATTAATGTTCAGACTCTATTAAATGCTAGTCTTGTCAAATGTTTACAAGGAATCAAAGTTAAAATACATGTAAAAAATTAACCTCATACATGCCTTTCAAAAGATCGTCGACTACATGAAGCTGAAAAGAAAAAAACAAAACAAAAAAAAACAGCCATAACAGAATATTGCTTTGCCTCTCTAAAGCATTGTCATAATATACTGTAAATATTGTGTCAAGAAAATCAAACTCATGACCTTTAAACTCTGGTTTTAAATGCTTGATTTGTTGCTCATTGCCAAAACCGCCGAGGTTTCACCTGAAACCATCTCTTGCACTGTTGCTGATCCGTCTTTCTGTTCTTCCAGCTCACTCCAGTCTGAACCCCAACTCAAACCCTACTGCTGTTTTTCCTAAACAGATTTGAGTTGGGGCTGCGCTACACAGTGCAGAACCTGCCAGCGACATCTTCTAGACCACCGTTCATTTTAGAGATGGACAAGAGACCTGGATGTTGTGCTCAGTTCAAGTCAGTATGCACATGACCTGCTGCGATAAGCACTGACAACAAAAAACATTGCAACTCTTCAGCTTTGTAACATGCCACATCATTGCACTGCTCTCTAAGAGGAATTTTAACATAGCCATAGTGCAATGCCTGCTATATCTCTTTCTAATCTACCTACATGCCAGTCTGTTCTCTCAGACACAAAGAATATCTTCACATCTCCTCAAAACAGAGCAGGGATGAGTGTGGATATGCAAGGACCATATTCACATTCTGACAAACACAGGCATACAGTACACACACATGCACGGGCACACACCCCACCACGCCATGCTAGGGTTTCAAACACACCGAGTTCAGCCACCAGTTCACAGCTGGCTCTGCTGCCACATGATCCGGGTTTTAGTGTGACTTTGCCTTTTCTCAGTTCTACCAAGCCATTTGCTTGTGGCAGGTGCACATCTCCAAATGGCGCCATTGGCCATTTGGTGCCGTCATGACAAAATGATCAGCATTTGAAGGGAAGGAAGCAGCAGGATATTCATAAAAAAAGATGCCCTCTGCTTAAGACAGACCCTTCTGATACCAATGGGCCTCCATACTGTAAAGGATCAATGTCAGTTGTGTCCAACTGTACCACTGCGTGTTGTGCTCGAGGAAGCATGAATATAGCTCTTATGTTCCACGGTTGTTTTCTGATTTAAAAAAATTACAATCAATCTTAAAAACAAGCCTTGCAAAGCAATTAATGGTTTCAGGCTGATGATTGTCAATAAAAAAGACAAAGCCTCTGTCTTTTGGTGGAAAGAGAGAAAAAAATTTGCAGTTTCAACTCTTAGTTTCCTTCAGTCATCAATAACATATTAAAAAGTGCAAAGAAACGTAACATATTAACAACAGGATCTCTCTTTCAATTCGGAGGCTTATTTGCATATATAATACGCAGCACCTGCAGCGGAGGGGGCATTCTAGGTGTTGAAAGGGGATGAGGTCTACATCTGTCCCAGGAAAGAGACCATAGGTAGAGACCCAGCGTACAGGGGTAAAGGATGACATCCATCCCAGTGAAACAGCCCTCATCCTGGGGACTCAGTTAGGACTTGGTGTGTTGAGGCCTAGTTCTGGTTTGCCGTTAATCTGGACCTACCAGACATCTGCATTAGTCCGGTACTTCTATTTGAAAATCACAACTCATGTCAGTGGCCATTTCTGGGAATTGTTTTGTGTCATATGGCGTAGTACATTCTGGGGCTGCAAAATGGCTGAGAAAGAGCAGCATCCTTCTTCCATCCAGGCCGTCTCCTCTGGGTACATACACATATGTAAATATATTTCACTGTATATTTATATATTTGTATGACCACTTCTACAAAGCTGAATATTCCTTTCTGGCATTGTCCTAACGTTACTTCCTTTCATCCAGGACATTACCATGACAATCACCTTTCCTCCAGAGTTCACTCAGTTGCCCAGATACCAAGACTGGAAGAGAGACAAACACACAATTAAAATTTGAACTGATTTGCATTTTTATCACACAGAGGTACAAGGCTTTTTTGATGAGTAATCATCACACCAAATTTACATGTAAAACCATTTACGAAATTGATTGTTGCACACATCAATTTTTGAGTAATTACAAAAATATTGTATTTTATTCAAGTAATTCATGTGTATAAACAATTTAAAACTCTAACAAAAGATGAAGCTATTGTTAAAGGCTTAGTGAAAGTGATTGGTTCGTTCATGAACAATGCTTACTCTTCAAACGTAAAAAAAAATATGGAGCTTTACCTTCAGTCAAAAGCAACTTCCAGTTAACTGGAAACATGGTTTTCACTTCTAGACTTACATTTCTGCTGTGGAGCCTTGCATTAACTCCACATCTCTCTCCTCAGATCCCAGAGGAGTTTACAGAACTAAATTAGAATTCCTGCGCTCATGATACTCAACTTTCAGTCCAAACTTCAATAATCTATGTGGGCACCAGTCAAATAATGAGTCATTTTCTGCCCGTCAGGACACATCCTCATGTAGGAATTTAGAACTCTTAAAAATGTAAGGCCCCTTACAGTCTGGGCAATACTAGCACTGTCACCTCACAACAAGAAGGTTCTGGGTTCAATGCCCAACCAACCCGGTGCCTTTTTGTGCAGAGTCTGCGTATTCTCCCTGTGCCTGCGTGGGTTCTCTCTGGCTTCCAAACACATGCCGCTTAGGATGATTGGTGACTCTAAATTGGACATTATCCGGAAGATCATAAAGGGCATAAAACATGCCAAGTTTAATGTGTCATCGTTGGTTCGGTGGAACTGATGATTCACTGTGGCGAACCCTAACGGGAACAGCCGTAAGTAGAAGAAGAAGAATAGTCTGGGCAATACTGGGCCGTCACAGATTAAACTTGACAACATAAGAGAAAGTTGGTAAAATCTCTGGTCATCAATCAAAACTATTGCTTCTACATCTGACTGGGAGACATGTCCACTGAAGGCAAACTGATTTACAACTTTGGAGAAAGACAGGCTGTGTTAAAATTCTGACAGTGTCACAAATTAAGACTGAACCTCTCATGGCACAAGTCCTGCTATGGCCAACACCTACAGATCAACTAATATGGAGAGTTCACAAATTGATGCAGAATATATTGTACGCTGTATAATTCAGTGTAACCAAAGATACCACTTGGGAATGTAATTACCTACAGTATCCTAAGTGCCACTTCTGAATAAACATAATATCCCAGTGTTATGGCTAAAGAGTGGTTTTTTTTTGTTGTTTTGTTTTTTTTTGTTTGCTGCTTTTTCAAACAAAAGCAACACCGATGAATTATGCAAGTTAATTATGCCTATGCTTCTATAATATTTACATCATTGTGCTACCAGTCACCAGACAATCATCATGCTGAAACTGTATGGTGTGACACAGATCAAGTGTTACATGCAATGGACCTGCAAGCACCGACACACCTGGTGGATTGAACCAGGTGTAGCTGCTCTGTAGTATTTTAATTAAAGGGTCCATTTCATTAAATTTGCAACATGCAAGCTGTTTTTCCTAACATAAATTCAGTTAATTTTGAGAAGTCCAACTAAGTCAGACTGGATTTTAATCACAATAAAATATCCCTAACAACCCAGTTGTTATGACAATCCATTAAGAAGTTATCCAACTTTTCTTGCATTTAGTTGCGACAAACGTAAATTCACAGAGAGGAGTCCTGGCTCAGCACTGTTAGCTGAGCAGTTTCTGGAGCAGTGGCACTGCAATGCAGCAGCAACAACAGCAGCACAATCACACTTAACACACAAGGCCCAAGCTCTATTCTTCATCAACCTGTACTGTGTAATGTAAATGTCTCTAAATACCATATATTTGAAAAACATGTCTCTAAATACCTAAGCTATTGAATTTATTATGATTTATTCATTTCTCTAAGTGCTTAAGTGGATGCTTTCCTCTACCTGTACAAGCTACTTGTTTACCACCCTATTACCACACATACACATCTGCAACCTGCCGCTTACTGACCCACTTACTGTACCTGCATTATGGCTGCCTACCTGATACCAGGATACCGATTTCAAGGCTCAGGTTACCAAGATACTTCTATATTTGGACTGAAGGTGCCAATCTATGATGTTTTCTGTGGATGTCAGCAAACACATAATATTTGTTATTTTTAAATGTGATTCTTGTCAGATTATTTAGACCAACAGTTTTCAGTGTGAGCTGCACAAGAAGACTTCAGGGGAGGCACAGTGTGAGAAAAAATAAACCTGAAAAATTTACTGTAAACACCAAACTTCAGCTACAGTATGGGGTGAACAGAAAATGGAGTAAATATCTTGATGATTGTTTGGATTTTCATGGACTGGTCCTGATGATGCTCCACTGCCACAGCGTGGTATTTGCAAAGTGGTGCTAGCTAATGACAATAAATGGGCTTTCAGAGAGGAGGTGGTATGTGCTGCGCTTGAAGGGGGGCTTGGGATAGCACAGAGGGGGAGGGCATACACGCACAAACTGTGCACACGTTGGGTGGCAGTTGCTAGGTGACCAAAAAGGTGGATAGCAGATATTAACTAGTTTTTGGAGCAGCGGACATGGATATATGATTTACCTTTCTACATGTCAGCAAAAAGCTCTGGCTTTAGTTGTATTGATGAGGAGGAGGAGGAGATGAGCTGCAGCAAAGAAGAGGGTGTTGGTCCACCAACATAAGCTTCTCCTCTGTCAGGTTCTCTGCAATTGGGCGCATCAAGATGTCATCACAGAATGCTGCGCCCAACTTGATCTTCTTTAAACTTCAGCGCAGTGTGCAGGGATGGTACTTATACTGTGCACAACTTGGTGCAGCGCAGATACTTTCTTGCACCACGCAACGCATAGAAATGAATACACAGCTCAACAGCGGTGTGCATGATTTCATTTTGCCAGCTGAGTTTGATGTTTAAAAATGATCTAACTTGAATAAAATTGAACAAATAGGCCTTACAAAGTATGACTTTGTTGAACTGAGTATTTTATTAAGACTATTGTTGAGTCTGTTTTCAGTTTTTGACTGACTATGGAGGGTTAATTGGTAAATAATGTTTAGTAAGAGTAGGATAGGATACAGATGTCTTTTTTTTCTTAAAGAAATGTGTTTTATGGTCTTTGAGGGGAGGTTCACTTTCCCACACTTTGAAAACCCCTGATTTAGACCAGAGAGTGTCAGTCAAAGAAGTGCCATGCTTTCTCTCCTATGAATGGGTTCAGAAATGTAGGTTTTGAAGAGAACAAACCACAAACGATAAGAAAACATCTAGTGTAAATACATCAAAACACAGTCATCAAAATTTAGAACAAATGAGAGCTCAAATATGAGATGTAATTGGTGTCTTTAGCTCACTTTAGCCATGCAAAAAAAAAAATCACAACCCTCCAATAATCTGAGTTCTGTAGTGTCAGCTCTTAATCTGAAATTGACATTGTCAAATAAACAATACTAACCTGGGCTTGGTAGAGTCCACCTGGGTCTCGAGGCGTGACTCCAACAAAGGAGGAGCGGTTGGAAGGTGGGGTCCCAGGGGCCGAGTATGCTGAGGGTGTTTGTGTTAACAACATCAGTCTAGTAATTTTAAAATTCAGTGTAACTTGTAAAGTGGCGTGAGGCAGCACTTTTAACACAAACAGTCCATATCACAAAGGAGCTACAATAGAGAACAACATCAAATCCCCCTTGATGAGTCACTGATGTATGTAGTTTGATAGAACTTGGACCTGCTCCCTATGTGACCACTGGTGGTAAGCAAGTTGTCTTCAAACTTATGTTTATCTTTTCACTCACTCTGTGGTTATTTTATTTTGTTTTTTGTACCAAAGGCCACCAAATAGACCTGAGAGGTATTCCAGATTTCAGAATTTGCTAATTTGTGAAGTGCCATATTCACAAATTTCACACACCTGTTGCTATTAACAGGGGTGCACGTAATTTTTTGGTGAGATTCTCAAAGGAGCACCTGGAGATCTTGCTTGGTCCTCACACTGTACATGGTGCAGTTATTCTACATGCTGTCATCATCATCACTGCTCTCCTTACTGCTTTTATCACTGTATTTCTCTAGTTGAAGCACTGTGGACAATGATGTGGGCCTATTTCTTTCCTCCTGCTTGAGTTTGTGATGAGCAGCTGGCTTTGGTTCAAAAGTCTCTGTTGTCATTTTAGACAAATCGTTGTACATCACTGATGAAAGCTGAAAATCTGCCAGGCGGGACCCTGGACTTGCTTTTTACTATACTAAGATGTGAAAATCCCCTCCCACAGGCAGCACTGCTCAGGGGAGGTGTAAAGGACAACAGAAGAACACTGTGACCCAGTCACACACAGATGAAGCTGTCAGACGTTTTCCTGCTTACTTTATGCACATCCATTATTTTAAAAATCTTTTGTCCCTAAATGAAAGGTGCGGTTTTTATCTACAGCATCTATATCTATAGCTTGTACCACATGGCTGTGCAGTCATGGAGCCTCCTGTAGCCACTTCAGGTTCAGTCTGGTGTTTCTTTGCTGGCGGTGGAATACTGAAGTAGTTACTTAATGTGCCCTGCTTCTTGGACATTTTGGTGAATTAATAAGAATCCTAGAAACATAAAAACACAATATAGCAAGCTTCATACTGGTGCTGCTAACGTAACTAACTAAAAAAATAAGTTTGTGCAATTGTCAACAAAGGCTATATTTTACACAGCTCACAACACATGAACTTTAACATGTTTGTAATGATGACCTTAACAATGATACATGAAAAAACCTTGTTTCGGTGGATAAAATAAAGTGCCAAAAACATTAGGATGCAAAAGCATTTTAGTAAATGTAATATTCACTGCGCATTCTTGATTTTAACCACGTATGTGCACCTGTGCACCAGTTATGGGCAGCCCTGGCTATTAGCCTGTTTGTAATGCAGAAGCAATCTAAAATGTACAATATCTATTATCATATGTCCTGCTTCTGTTTCTTTTGTTCTCTGCTTAGCGGAGGAGTTCCTGGACTCAACTTTCTGCTCAGGAAATGAGACTTAATGCACTTTCTAAGTACTCTGAAATAATGATGTTGCAAGAACAAAACTTTTTGTAAATTGCACAATTCATCCTTACAGTGTTAACATAAGACACTTTTAAAATGTGCATGATTTAAAATGATTTCAACATTCATAAAACCAGACTAATGTGAAGGACCAGTGGAAACATGGCTGCTAGTGCTGCTATTGCAACACAAATGCAAATGCATTTAGATCCACAACCCACCGTTATATCCCTAAATATATAATTAGCATTAATGTAACAATGTAAAAACATCTGGCATATTTGGCACTGGTCAGTCTTTTCTGATTGTAAAATAAAGCGCTCCTGAACTTTAGAGGACTTCAGTCATCCACTTTTCTATGACATAACCAATGCTTAAAACTATCCACCACTTCTGCCGTTTTTCAGATTGTTTGATTTGCCTCCATGATGCAGTCACCCAGTCACTGACTCACCTGTTCCACACAGCTACATGCCTAGACCCGACTAATCAACATTTAAGGGATAATTAAAGGGCACAGTTTATTTTGAAATCAATCCACAACTGCAGTTTTCATCTATGTGGAGTAGCTCTGTTGTGCAGCTGTCACAAAGAAACGCTCTGTGACGTAGTAATCACATATTGCTGCGTCATCAAAATGTGGACATGTCACCAAGTGTTTTGGTATGGTTGTTCTATGTTTGTAAGAGTCATTGGATACTATATCAAGCTGTCAATACACAGATAATACATGCTAGTAGGATCCATTATTTATTTTGTTGAGTCTTTTCATGTGATTTGTTGATCAAGGCAAACTTTATATTTATATAAAACTGCACGATGTCAGCAGTTTTATAATATGCCCACTGTCGGTCTGGAATACCCCCCAGGAGCATTTACACCACTAAACTTATGTGTTCTCCCTTCTGCACTTCTGTCTCAGCCTTTTCAGTTCTTGAAAATAAACAATCATAGGACAGGTATACAAGTATAAATGGTTAAATATTCTATTCCAACATCCATCAGAAGGTAACGTATATGCTACCTATACATTATGCATCATGTCGCACATTACTACTGTCAGGTAAAGTTTGTTAGCGTTTTGACCACTTACTGGGGGATGTGGGGGAGTTTGTGCCCCTGTCAGAGGAAGTGGTAGTGGCCTTTGACTCTGTAGGTAGTGTTGGCCTGGAGAGGGAGGATGGTGGAGGGGCCAACGAGGGTGCTGGTCCAGGGGGCGCCAACATCTGAGAGGAGATGTAGTGACTGGGAACTTTAATCTGGTTGCTGCCATTCAGCTGGAAAAAGTCAGAAAGATAGACGACCACATGTACTCATATTTAACATGTACTGCAGTACTGCTGTACTTTTTACTTTAAACTGGTCCTAAACTAAACACCAACCTACACAATTTAACACAATGTATAAAGTGACAGCAGCAGAAGTGGAAACACTGCAGAGGCTGTTTTAATGTTGCCTCAACTGTCAGACCAAGTATTAGATGCTACAAAAGCAGGCAGTGAGCATTACAGCTGCAGTTTACATGTTCTATCCAGCACTGTTTCTCTGGGTGTGTGTGTGGGGGGGGGGGGTTAGGTTGCACTGTACTGTAACAACCGGACACCACCTGTGAGGCAAAACATAAAGAATGTAAATGAGCCACACTAACTTTCAGACTAAACCAAGAGAAACACGGTTCAGCCTCTTTTGCTTTAATAAACATCAGGAGTAGTATCTGGAGCCCTGTGACACAGTCTTCTTAGAGCTGGCCTTTGACTGTTTACACTCACTGAGCTGGGGGTTTGATTAGCAGGGTCACAGGCCAATGAGACCAGATCTTTTAAGGGGTCCTGGGCCAGGTGAGGAGGATAGCGAATTGCTCCATGGGGGAAGTAGGAAGATGATGGAAAATGAAGAGATGAGGACGGGTGGGGACTCCGAGCTAGACCTGGACAGAGTCAGAGAGAAGAAACAATGAATTACAGTTTGTCCTTTGTGTTCTCCTTTAGGAATAAATAATGTGTGCAGAAGGAGTCGGATGTTGGTTCTTCTCCTTTTTTGTTGAAGCTGCAATTTTTATTGTTTGTTTTTTTTATTTTTTACATTAAAGACACTATTTTTTTTTCCCTTAAAAGATCTCTGTTTTATTTTGGGGTCAGGTTTTGCAACTTTGAAAAAAATGGTTTTTCTTGTTAAACTGTAATAAACGTGCCAGCTGTTGGTGACATTCAGTTGATCTCCACTTTATTTATACTCCTCAGAACCTTTTTAATCATGTAGTATACAGTTGAAGTCAGACGTTTACATAAGCTTTATTCAAATACATTTAAACTCAATTTTTCCCAAATCCTGACATTTAACCCAATCAACATTCCCTGTCTTAGGTCAGTCAGGATCACTGCTGTATTTTAAGAATGTGGACTATCAGAATAATAGTAGAGAAAAAGATCTATTTCAGCTTTTATTTCTTTCCTCACATTCCCAGTGGGCAAGATGTTTTACATACACTCAGTTAGTGTTTGGTAGCAATAGTTTTAAATTGTTTAACTCAGGTCAAACATTTCAGGATGCCTTCCACAGGCTTTGTACAATAAGCTGCTGGAATTTTGGCCCATTCCTCCTGACAGAACTGAGTCAGGATTGGAGGCCTCCTGCTCACACATACAGTCAGTTCTGCCCACAAATGGTCTATTGGACTGAGCCTAGGGCTTTGTGATGACCTTGACTTTGTCGTCCTGAACCCACTTTGGAAGTCATTGTCCATCTGGACAAGACCCATTTGTGACCAAGCTTTAACTTCCTGGCTGAGGTCTTGCGATGTTTATGTACAGACCCAAGTGACAAAAACAAAAAACATGTGTATGTGCGCAAACACTACTGACCACTGTGAACAGCTATGACAGGCCGCTGGTGCTGAGTGAATGAGCCTAGTCTTGGTGAGTCTTCCTGGGGAGAGGGACTGTCCAGTTCTGCCTTCTTCACTGGTGGAGAGAGACCTAAAACACACATACAAACGAACATATTTATTAGTGCAAGCAACATAGGCACTGGAACCCCTCTGTTAATTTGTTGGCAACTGCTTCACTGGGCTCTTAAGCCAGTAAACCATCATGAAACTACATGCCTCAGAAAAATGGAAGGAAAACGTAACCTGGAGTGGAGACTCAGGCCAGTACCCACCTCCAATATTGACATATAAAAAAAAACACATCAAAATGGTGAAATCAATTAGAAAAATGCATAACATTGGAGGAAATCAAAAAAACATTTGCATTAGTTTGAATCTGTACTATGTTACATAGCAACAGAGCACATATTAAACTAATACTCAAACCCTAAACTTCCTACATAAATTTGGGAAGCCTTACTCACTAGACTGCTGGGCACACACTAGGGATGGGTTCCAATATCTGGTTCTATTTTGGATCCGGTTACAATTTGATGAAATATCCAGGTTTGTAAAGGTTCATGGCCAAATGAATCTTTTATCGAACTCGTCATTCACATTCTCTGTTTTGTTTACACTCTTTGTAGATGTCAGCAAAGATAAACAAAACAAATATAAACTGGTGATTAGTTAGTATACGTTATGCTATGTTTTACATGGTATGCATCAATGAAGTCAAAAAAACAAAAACAAAACACTAATAAACAAACATGGCTGACCCAATAAAACCGCTCAGAAATAATAATAAAAAAAAAAAACCACTGCGAAAAGTGCTATTTGCAGGACGGTACTCATGGAAAAAGGGGTAACGATACATCTTTCGCTTAAATAGTCATCTAGTGTCAAACATGATAAAGTAAGAACTTCGTTATATTTGTTAGCATGAGAAAAACAAGCGCTCAGCCTCAGACCTGTCAGATCTGTAGAAGATCAGTTCACCTTCAGGTAACGCAGGTCAGTCTTGACTACACAGCTGTCAGGTGTGCATTGCACTACACTAGCATATTTATAAATATGTAAATAACATTAGTTGTGCTCGTGCTTTAATGACACATGCTATTTGTGATTCCTTGTACAGACAATGCACGCCGTTAGTCTTATTCCTGTCCATATTCTTATTCTGTTACCTCCTTCCATGTCATCGGTCCAGTTCCTGGAGCTGCTGGCAGGACTGGAAGGTGAGTGGTAATACTCCCCCCCTGGACTGTCAGCCTCTTCCTCCATGGAGCCGGACTTATGACGCTTATTCCTGCAGACACAAACACACACTGTATACATTTAAGTTGTTTTAAAATATCCTTCTCAAGCAGTTTTGTTGGGGTCAAAAAGTGGATCTGTAACTACAGTACAAGAAGAAGCCTGAAGTAAGGCCTTAATTGTATTTAATAATAGCCAACATCTCCGCATAGAGACCACTGTCCATATATAAACCTTCAGAATTGTTTACCTATTGCATTTAATTTTAAGTAAGTACTCCAACAAATTAGTGGTGCACTTCCATAAAGTTGGAGCACTTACAAAAGACAAACTTTAAATAACACTGAAGGAGCAGAGGCGAAAATGTCCTTAATCCCTAGTACACACACTAAGTCAGGCTCCAAGATTTCCCATAATGTGTCCAGCTTGTCATTACGCTCCCTGATAAGTGTAAAAGCCCACATCAGAAAAAGTTGGGATGACAAGTAAAATCTAAATAAAATGTGAAAATAGTGATGTGTAAACCATCTGTGTCCTGTATTACACTGAAAACACATAAATTATTTAAAAATCTAACGATTTTCTGGAATTTTTTTGTAGATTCTGTCTCTCACAGCTGAGGTGTACCTACGATGAAAATTACAGAACTGTCCATTCTCTGTAAGTGGGGAAAAGTCGAAAAATCGGCAGCGTATCAAATACTTATTTGCCCCACTGTATTTGAAAATAAACATTCACTTAAATTCTGATGCTGCAACACATTCCAAGAAAAGTTGGAACAGAGAAGCGTTTACCACGGTGTGATGTTGCCGTTCCTTTTCACAACACTTAGAAGACGTTTAGGGACTGAGGATACCAAGTGATTCAGTGTGTCACATGTCATTTTGTCCCATTCTTCCTGCAAACCAATCTTAAGGTGTCCAACAGTCCTGGGCCTTCGTTAATGCAATTTGCATTTCAAAATGTGCCACATTCTCTGTTGGGGACAGGTGGGGACTGCAGGCAGGCCAGTCCAACACTCACACCCTCTTCCTCCACAGCCAGGCCTTGGTAATGTGGCACTATGAGGTTTGCATTGTCTTGCTGAAATATGTACGGGCGTCCCTGGAAAAGATGTCGTCTTGAAGTCAGCAGATGTTGCTCCAAGGTCTCTGTGTATTGTTCAGCATTAATGGAGCCGTCACAGAAGTGTAAGTGACCTTTGCCAAGGGCACTGACACGACCCCAGACCATGACAGACCCTGGCTTTTGGACTTGTTGCTGGTAACAGTCTGGATGGTCCTTTTGCTTTTTAGTCAAAGCACATGCCGTCCATTCTTTCCAAAAAAGACCTGAAACGACGATTGGTCTGACCACAGTGCACGTTTCCACTGTGTGATGGTCCATCCCAGATGCCTCTGAGCCCAGAGCAGTCAACATCTGGACACTGTTGACATAGGACTTCCTTTTGGCACAGCACAGTTTTAAGCAGCATTTATGGATGTAACTACGTATTGTAGTGCCTGACACAGGTGAGCCAAAGTCATCCTGAGCCCAGGTGGTTATATCGCTTATAGAAGAGAGATGAGTCTTGATGCAGTGACGTCTGAGGAATCACAGAGCTTGGTCATCCAGCTTAGACTGGCGCCCTTTACACACTGAAATCCCTCCAGATTCCTTGAATCTTTTAATGATGTTCTGCACCGTAGAGGGTACAGATCTAAATCCTTGTCATTCTTTGAGGAACATTGTTTTTAAATATTTCTATAATTTTCCTCACACATATGTTGGCAAACTGGCGGTCCTAAAGTCAAAATGTTTG